GCTGTTCGTAAGCTACAGGATGCCCAATGAGGTCCAAAAACGCGACCAATTTTTATTATTTCTAGGTATCGAATCACTAGAAATAGTTTCCAATTTGGCTTGGTTTTTATTTGACTGATGATATATTGCATATTTGTCTAAAAATATTTTTAAATGATTTACTTGTTTAATGTTTCTTATGGAATCATCTAGTGCCAATTGCAATTGGTGATTCAAACAATGCCACACGATTATATTTGGAAACATTTCAGTTAATTTTGTGGCTACTCCAGATTTTCTTCCTAACATTGTCGATGCACCATCTGAACAGAATCCTATGTAGTTTCTTTGTAAATAGTTTTTATCAAATCCATAGTAAGTAAGACAGCCTATTAAGGTCATAAAAATATTTTTGGCAGATGTTGACGTCAATTCTTTTAAATCTACAAAAATCATGAGAGGTTCAATTGCAGACTGCACTTCACACTGTAAATATATTACCAAAGTACTTTTTTTAGCGAGTGTAGAAGCTTTGTCAATTATGATACAAATTTTTGAATTTTGATTGATAATGTTTTTAAAAACAGTTTTTTTAATCTGCATTCCAATATGTTCGACAATTCTAGTGGCAGTGCGCCTGGAATGTAAACAATTTCTTATATTAACACCATTTTTTTCTTGTAATTCCAAAGCTGCTTTTATATCAGACAAGGGTCTGTTTCGTTTAACAAGACTATAAACTGTGTTGAAAATTTTTACAGTAATGTTAATTGCTTCAGAATTTAATATTTTAATTACATTTAGTAAAACTTGTTTGTTAGATTAAATAATTGTTTCTTGAATTTTTAAATGTGAGCATGAAGTGGAATGTTCTTTAACTTTTTTTGCATAGAGAAGCTTGCCTTGTGTCTTTTTTAGCTCCATTAGGAATTATTGAACATGAAATCCACTTATTTGATACGTGAATATGTTTTTAGTTTTCTATTCTTAAGGTTTTTATTTTTGAACAGTCTTTACAACCTAATTTGCCATCTTTTACCACTAACCATTTAAATTGTTCTGTGAACAAACTCACTTGCTTTTCTGTCCAACAATCTGGTAGTTGACTATTGTGTACTGTGCATGGTTCCAATGATATTGTAGATGATGCTGATGAACATGAAGCTGATGTTTTATTTGAAATTGATTGTATAGGTTCAACATCTGCAGAACTTATTGTTTTCTTTAGTATATCTTCATTGAGTTTTTTTTTTTTTTGACATTTACAAAAAACAATAAATTTCCTTGCACTCTCTTCATTTTTTAAATAAAAAAAATCTAAAATTTAAATACTGTCATTATATTCACACAATTTTTAAATGAATGAATTTATATTATTTACAAATAATAATTTACAATTGTTTATTTATGTAAACTAAAAATTTAATTTTTCCAACATAACTTACCTTAGCAATTAGACTAATTAATTGTATTTTGTATTGTCAATTCAGTAAACAAATTAAGTTTTTATAGTAAATTTTACCAGCTAATTCCGAAATCAAAATTGATTTTTTCATGCTCTATCTAATTTTTAAATTGTGTTTTTTTTGTTTACATATAATTGTTCTACATTCTAATTCTATAAGAAGACATAAAGAAAAAAATGCTAATTTATAGTTATTCTGCATAGTACAAATAGACAGAGAAAGTATTCTCAAATTGCAGTTAACAGTGTCATGTCTTCATTTCATTTGTTGTAATATTTTACGATTTGAAACAGTGTTTATTACACTTCGTATTTTACATACGCACATGATGTGTGTATTATGTTGCGCACATGATATGTTTGCGAGTGTTTGGCACATCAGCGCGATGTGCATATTTTGTATAAATATACTATTAAAATGGCTTATTTTTGGTTTTGGTTAATTTAACAAGCGGCTCGCCAAGTTTCAAAAATTTTAACAACCAACTCGCGCGAGCCGGACCAAGCTGGCTCCAGCCCACCCCTATATATATATATATATATATATATATATATATATATATATATATATATATATATATATATATATATATATATATATATATCTGTGTGTGTATGAATGTATGTATGTATAATTTGTTTTTATATTTTAGACTTTGTATAACTCAATTAAGTCTAAGAAAATGGTTTTTGCTTCTAGGTAATATTAAATTTTTATTTTTATAATTTTATTTTAATAAGTTTTTAAGTTTTAATAATTTAATGATTTTAATCCGTATAAATAATTTAAAATAAATTTACATCATCAGTCTTTTTGTGTTTTTTGTAAATTGCAACAACTCTTTTTTGTTTATTAAATATTTTAATGAAAAACTGTGATAACACTCTTATGTACAAATATTTTTAATTTAGAATTAATAAAATATTATAATATAAATATTAAATAAAAAAAAATTAAAATAAAAATGACAAAAAATAAGTCTTTTATTTTTTGTCATTTTTATTTTAATTTTTTTTATTTAGAATTTTATTTATTATTATTATTATTATTTTTTT